CCAGAATACCATAAATATCATGATAAAACTAATAAAAAAGTTATTGGTAAAATGAAAGATGAAGCCGCTGGAATAGTAGTTAAAGAATTTGTTGGTTTAAGAAGTAAGATGTATAGTTATATTAAAGACAATAATAAAGGAGATAAGAAAGCTAAAGGAATTAAGAAAAATATTATTAAGAGTGAAATAAAACACGAAGACTATAAAACAACACTATTTGAAAACAAACAAATGCATCATACAATGAAAACAATTAGAAGTGTAAACCATCAACTTAGTAGCTATGAAATTAATAAAGTATCACTCAGCTGTTTTGATGATAAACGGTATATATTAGATGATGGTATAACTACTAGAGCTTATGGTCATTATTTAAATGATAATTAAAACTTATTTTAATATACAGTTATAATGTGTAGTAAGCATGTAGCGTGGGCCTCTGTTAGAGTAAAATCATACATACCTGCTCCTCATGTTTGACTACATATCACATAACTGTTTGTAATAAGTAATTAATACAAAAGCGATATACAAAAAGATTCAAAATCCTGAAACAATTAGTAAAAACACTTTTAACAAAAATTATATAAAACATTGTTAAACATGTACATGTGACACACGCTTGACAGACAAATTAAAAAAACATATAGATTCCATAGTTTTGTAAAGAGCATCTATGACATTGTTGCGCTCAAAATTTCAGGCTTAGTTGCCTGAAATTTATCGCCCAACACAACGATTTAAAAAGATGCTTTATTAACACTTGATTATTATACATGCGCTGATGAAATGTGCTATCTACATTAAACAACCATTTTTGAAAAACATGCACTAAGACACGCGCGCTGCTACTGATATTTTAATAACACTTGATTATTAACATTTGATTATTAAAGACGGTTTTTTAAGAGCATTTCTTAAGCCTCTGTTATTCTCGAATATTCTTCGAATATTCATCGAATCCAATGGGAGGCGACCCCAATTTTTCACTTCGTGAAAAATTTTCCCATCGTCGCCTAGAATTTGATGGGGCTCCATCCCCTGCTCGAGCACTTTGTGCTCTGCGCTGCCGAGCCCCATCAAAACCAATGCTTTATTAACACTTGTTTGTAAAGACCGTTTTTAAAACATATAGATTCCAAATTTTGAAACAATGACTTTTTTACATGGCCTTTTACTGAGGGACGCCTTTGAAACATGGCCTTTTTCACACTGCTTTGAAATAACGATTTTTTACACAGCTTTTTTACATGACCTTTTACCAGAGGGACGTCTTTGAACCATGGTCTTATTTTACGCTGTTATAAAGATAGTTTTTACCCACGGGTGTAGTAGTAATATACATGTGGGATTCGAATACATAAAAAGTAAACTTTTTATGGATTCGTACCCCCATGTATATTACTACTTGTAAAACGTTTATCCTCGTTCAAACGATGAAACAAAAGTTATTTGCAATCGACAAAAAATTGTTGAAGGCATATTAGCTAATCAGAAAACAACGCGGCCCTAATATTATAAAACATACACATGTACGACCTTTAGTGATCCATTCATACGGAGTGAAACATGAATTTGATTCATGTATTTAGCAAATGATTTATAATATACAAATGCAGGCTTGGTTGGCGATCATAACTTTTCATAATTATAGTCCGGTTCTGTACTTATTAGCCTTGCTTGTAAACTCTTTGGTTCGCAGATCACCGTAGTCTGTTGGCGAGTTAATCAGTTGAATGAAAAACACAAAGACATTAATTTTGCTTTTGACTCTTTTACGAGTTACTACTATTATTTCTGAAGGATTTATATAACGTAGATTGACTATGAAAGTTATGTAATATGATACGTGTCAGCAGTCGAAGTAGTTGAAAGTATAAGCAGGAAATACATTTTAAGTACTTACGATCACTTGCAAATTTGCGAAGCCTTCTAACTAGCTTTCAATTATTAAACATTGTTTACTAATTAATATCGTCGCTGTATCCTCGGAAATATGGCTATCATATATATGTGTGAAACAAGAAAATTGTAATGATTTTGAATTATCGGTTGTGTGGAAGATATTCGCGTCCGAAAAGTGTTTTAAAACAGTTGTTGACGAGTATTTATAGTGAAATTGGTCTCTGGTGAAAATTATAATAAATTAATCATCAAAATTTCTAAGAAATCTTGGGGACTTCACTTTTCTTACTGTGACCATAGTCACGTGATATGCGATCTAAGTAAGGAGCGTTTGGTAAATGCGGAATAGGTTAGAAAGCTACTGGGTCATTTGTCTGATCAATGTGCACAAAGCACAAATTTTTTAAATCTCAAACGTCTTTGGTGTCAAGCATATTTAATGTAAAATGTACTGTGTTTATTATTTTACTTTATTTTATAGCCTCGTAGTTTCTAGATTACCCACATGTACGCAATGCGTACCTATTTTTTAACAAAATACTTTACTGTGAATCAATCAACCTATCATGTGTATAACATGTGAAATTTATGTTGTCTTTTTTTCTATTACAAAATACCGCTATCATATTTAGCTAACTTTTAGCTTGTTATTTTCTGAAGCAAATAAACACAGCATTCAGTTTACTTACATGTGTGAACATAAAAATAATGTTTTCATTGTTTATTTTTTGTGTGAAAAGACAAAAAGCCAAAATTACAACGACAGGTACATCGTATAGGGGTTGGTATATGATCAAACAGCATGCTATAGCAGTGCCTTTTTTTGAAAATAGAATGCAGGAATGGTGGCTTAATATGTGGCAACAAAAGGAAAACATCCTTTTGGACATAAACGGCATAGACTGGACAACATTTTGAATGGAAAGCCAGTTGGATTGGAGGAAATCAAGAATGCTGAACTTAAAGACCTTTTATCGTGGATGCTACAAGTAAAACCAGAAAATAGGCCATCTGCCAACGAAGCATTGAAACATCCTTTTCTTATGTCGGATGGCGAAAAGTTTAAAATGTTATTTAAAGTTGCATGGGAACCAACAGCCAATTAAGACAAGTATCACTCTTTTAAGTGTTGTTCAACAATTGAATAGTGAACAGGCAGACTGCAAAAGTCAAATTGACAGTGATGTCTATGACTATTTTGTTGCGTATGAGATCAAAGAAAAATTCTTTAACTCAACTATGGGTCTTCATAGACAGAATGCTTGAGACTTAAGATTAAAATTCATTGCCTTATGATTACAATTATTTTAAATTGAGATTTTTAACACTTTGATGGTATTTTCACCGTAGATAATAATGTTTAGGTACATATGTTCCAAGCTCAATTGTACACTCCCTATTATAGAAGCGGGTAGCGGGTAATTAATTCCATTTAATTCAGTATATGTCAAAACCAATTTATAGTGCATAAGATAAACAAAATTAAAAATACGTGTAAGCATAATTACAGTTTACAGATGAATTATCTGACCAGTTATAATTCCAAACAAAATTGATATATTTGCGACATACTGTAAGTGTAACGGTAATGTGCAACTAGATAAACACAATAAGTCATTGAAAAATGATCATCAACCAAAAAGTACCCGACATGTTTCTTTATGTAACTTTATGCTTAATAATGACATGTTTACCTTATAGCCACGAATTTTTTCGTCCCTTGAATTACATTGTTCTAGATTTGAGATAACTAATGTTGATTTTTATGAGAAGATGTTTTTTATGACCAGTGATTATGACACGTGAAGCTATAAATTTTGATATTTTGACTGAGATAGATTGGTGTGAAATCAGTGAAACCCATTTCCAGTGGTGAAATCTCAAACCTGAGTCATGTCATATTTCCAAAATTGCCCTGTTTTTGCCTTTTCTAACTGGACAGCAAAAACAAGAATATTTGGCAGAAGTTCGTTTGTCCATATCATAATAACATTTTTTTGAAATGAAAACGTGTTCCTAGGCATTATATAAACCTTGAATTTGGGTGAAACAGTCAAGTACTATTAATATTTTTTTGATAATTTTTTTGATAATCATTACTATATAAAATATATTTTTTAAGATTTGCGATTACTAGTTTTGATTGTATGAGAAAATATTTAATATCACTACTGATTATGTCACATAAAGTTATTGTGATATCTTCAAGCAGTGTACTTGTCATGACAGCTTGCCAGGATTGACAGAAGATAATAGGAGAAGGTGTAAAGGGTTGGAATCAAAATATTAAAACATGGATAGATTTTTAGGGGGTGCCATCTCCCAAACATCATATTTCACCCCCCCCCCCCCTAGATTAATTTTTCACCCCTCTAACAAACATTTTAACTCCCCCAGTTTTGAGCAAAACACATCAGTAATACAGTTGAATTAAGTTTTTGTGTGCACTGTTTCAACTTACTACACAACGTTTGGTTGCTTCACTGTAAAACCGCTCATGATGTTTAGCACTACCCCTGTAAAATATGAAAACCTGTTTTTGTGTGAAATCTGAGCTATTTCATATCCATGTCCATGAACTGTCCCATGTGGTACCATATGTAGAAGTGTAATGGTGGGTCTCGGGGGGCGGCTTGACAGAAATTTCAAAAGACTATTTACGTAAGAATAAATTAAAGACGTAAAGTTTATGTTCCTAGGCGTGCTGATAAGCTCTGACATTTTTTGAAACAGCCAAGTGTCGTTCACTTAATTGTTTTTCTGAGAAAATGTTTGGAAAGAATGCTGTTTTTACACATAAACGATGCGCACATTTCCTATGCGAAATTTATAGGGGAAACACCTCCAGCGTTCCATAATAGGCTTGTCAATAATCCTGTATTTATTTGGAAGAAAGCATTTATAACTACAAGTTTTAGAAGAGCTTTGAAAATTTGCTTTGAAAATTTTTGAAGAAAGAAATCAATCAGATCAAGAAAAGAATAATGAATCATATGAAGAAAATTTAGAGGTGATATCTGTTAAATGAAGTTAATTTATTTTGGGTTTTTTTAATAATAGCTGCTGCATTGCTACGGTGTATTCCTTATCTTCAGATTTCAAGTTCTATGTGGATATAAAATATGAATTAAATCATTCGCAAATTCATTTATCCTACCTTCCCCGCCAAGACAAAATATGGAATTTTTTAAAGAATTCTTGCTGCTGTGATCTTTTGAAATGCTCCATTGTCCAAAGATATATTTATACGCGATGCAAAACAAGTCATACGTATTATTTTGATAGTTGATTCTCATCAGACGGAGCAAAAACGTTTAAGTAGTGGAACAAGCACTGAAATTATTGTAAGTTTTATTTGTATCGTATTCTCTTTATGATTTAACACTGGTACGCCTTGCCATAAAAATTTGCGAATTCTTTCAGTATATGTAATGACAATGTTAAAATTCCATTGCGTCAGACGTTTGATTTTATCACCATGAATTTGACTTTCTATCGCCATAACTTTGTACTTTCGATGTGTTCAAATCCCAATACTATATTTTTAATCGAATAGCAATAGATTTCTACAAATCACGGAAAATTGGAAAGGATCGAACGATCTTACTGTGCCGACTAAAACAATACAAAACGATTCATTAGGCCTCAGTTTTCTTGCATTTTTACTTATAAGTAAAGCTATACATACAAAATAGCCTTATAACAAGGCTATTTTTGAGTTCATATCATCTGAGCAACTTTGTTAGCTTGTGTATTAAAAATTTATCTTGTTCATTCGTCATGACAAAGTTGTTTGAACTACGTAGGCGGAAATGGACACGCAAGCAAATTTCTTATTTCTTGCATGGGAAGACCGGTTTCGGGAAAATTTATAAAAAAAATTACAAAAAAGAACAGTTCCTTTTTTAATTATTTGATCAAGCGACTAACAACTGTTAGAGAGTTCTGTAAATGAAAAATTACCTGGATTTTCCAGCATTTAAATAAACATACTGTTCAAGTTTGTCGTTTGCATGTTCATAGCCGTTTGAATAGGGGAGCTTTATGTTTAAGAGAGCATTGATAGTCTTGGTGAATGTTAAGTCAATCACAACTTCAACAAATGTTCAAGACTGTAGGCGAATATCACCGTTTTAAAAGTGAAGGTAGCCACAGTCCCTCGGCCAGAGTTACCGGTTCATTAGACACTTGCATGCAATGGCAATCTAAAACAGGAAGTCAAATAATGCCGAATATTTTAAAATGACTTGTTCTTTCACAATTGTAATTTCTTTGCAATATGATTACAATATGAGTAATATATGGTCGTATCACTTATCTTATCTTTTATAGTTTAGACATGAATTGCAACGCAGTTTTCACAAACATTAGATTAGCTCTATTGCATCATGTATTATATGATAGCGGCACTTGTCGGTCTTTACTTTGACATGTTTAAAACATATTGGAAAGTACCTTTAATATCTGACTATTTATATGAGTTATGATCTTGAATACCAACTATAAACAGTTCCGTCCAAAATTTTTGTATGTGCAATCTTTATATAGAATATACTTAAAATTCCTACATCAGGGTCATGGAAATAACTTGTTTACATAGTTAAATAGAATTTATGAACATTTGCTACATAATCGACCGGAGGAAAATTTTATCTTTTGTGGCCTAGATGAAGGCAGGGCCGAGATTCGGGTACAGACTTTGAAGGGTGACGGACCATTTTGCCCGACATAAAAGGCGTAGCTATAGACTTACCCGATGAATCTTGAAAGCTTGTAAAGGTAATTTATGGGACAGATATATACAAGAAATGCAATTTTTACTTGCATAATAACTCTCCTTGTAAAATAAAGTTTTACAGCGCTAAATAAAAATCATGACTATACGTCACATTTGTCGCAATAATGAGTCGTGGCGTTATGCACTTTTTTATAGCTTCTTAAAATCACGATAAATGCTAATTCAACTCAATCTTGAGATCCTCTAATCTAACGATTCCGGACTAATCGCTATAAAGCATGTATGTACGCTGTAATGAAAGCAAATTATAAAATTGAATCAACTAAGTGCAGTAGCTAAATGCTTTCTGAATACTTTGTAACATACTTATAACTATTTTACAGCACCTCTGGGAAACAGTGTGTTTAGTGGCCTAAAGGCTCTTTTCCACTCATCGCAAAACGTACTCGCAAGCTCGCTGCGAGTGCCTACGAGTTACTCGCAGCGAGCTTATTATGACTTGCAGCATAGTTAAATTAATTGAACAAAAATTTTTGATCGTGCGAATAGACTCGCAATCTTGCAGCGAGAGCATTTTGCGATGAGTGGAAAAGAGCCTTATAAAACGCTGTTGCATATTCCTCACTAAAACGTTGGGGGCAACAACGGGCCATGGTTTTAAATTAGTTACTGTTTCTTTAGTTGCTTTTTTGTTAATCAAAAATTTTTATCTACCATCACTGATGCAAAATCAAGGTCATTTTTGCTAGCAAACCTTTCCACTTTTTTTTGGACAATCAGTTGGAAATACTGTAAAACTATATATGCCTAAGCGTTTGCACTCTTTTAAGTTTATTTAAAGAAGGCGTCCTTACGTGGAGCAGCACGAGCATATTGTTTGGTAATTGCATATGGGAAACATACTATTCTTAATTTCTCAAATATTTGTGTGTGTATCGGTATTTTTTCGCAGCTGAGGTTGTTATTGAATTTCCTACATTACATTTCTACTCTTTAATGTCCATTATTACCAATCAGGATATTATTCAACAAAGTATACACGAGTTCATCCTTCATTACAAGTAAATATAACAAACTATAAGTTAATGGAAACTAGAGCATAATTCACATGACATAAATTAATCTGGATTCAACCCAGGTTCAAATGAACCCATGTTTGTCATTTTTTGTGTGTGAACACTACTGATTCAGGTTAGATCTGGGTTTAATTCATTCGACATGGGTTGAGCTAAACCAAGGTTTAACTTGGTTTGTTTATGTCGTGTGAATTAAACTTAGCATAAAATAAATTTAAACTGCTTCTAAAACTAAACGGAATTTCCACATATCATTTTGAGACGTCATGCAACTGTCAAATATTTTTTAGTGCATGTTATCTCAAAATTGTTAATGGTTGTGATCAGATTTGATTAGATCATGTTTATGGTATCGTGCCACACAATGAGCTTTTGCACTCTTTCAATTTTTTGCTTTTTGAACAATTGTCGTACCGTCTTAATACATAAATTTTATGATTACAGATTTTTTAGTTTTGATCTTTCTTGCATGCGACTCAAATGGATCAAGGCAAATGCTTTCCAAAAGGTAACGTTTAAGACTCTCGTTACTCAAATCTACAAACTCTCAACAGAGGCTGTATTACAGAGTTTTTCATCTCAGTGCCTCCACTAATAGGTTAATTGAAAACATGGTAAGATAAATATTGTGAAGCCATGAATTCTCGTTGAAGGACATAAATATATTAGCAAATAGAGTGCCTAGGGGGCTGCCCATAGCCACACCATCAATCTGTTAATAAACTTGACCATTAAAGATGAAATGACAGTTTTTGACGGAGAGGGAAAGAAGTTGAGTGAATTGTGAACGATGAAGGCCTTGAAAGGACGTGTTATTGGAGAAGAGGTGATTGGTTATTATAGCGATTGTTTCATCAACTGGGATGTTGGTGAACAATGATTTAACATCAAAGCTCGACATCACAACGTTATTGGCGTTAATGTCACTGTGTAAAAGATCTTGGACAAAAGAGAAAGAGTCCTTGATAACATGGGAGCTGGCGGAGATTGGTGTAAGGAAAGGAATAAAGAATTTGGCTAGCTTGTAGGAGTAGTTGTCAATACTAGATAAAATTGCTCTTAGAGGGATGGAGGATTTATGAATTTTAGGGAGTCCATATAGTATGCCGATACATGTACCAGTGGGATACACTTCTTTATTTTACTATTGCGATGGCTTTTTTTAAAGTCTTATGTTGGGCTATTATGTTCATATTGAAAATTCGCAATTAATCAAAGCGTTCTCAACATTCTCAATAAATCAAAGCGTTCTCAACTTTCACTGTGTTGCAACTAAAATAATTTTTTGCTATTGCGCTTGCACACGACGGTAATAAAATTGTCGTTTTCAAAGTTGATTGTACAAACTATATGCTTGTCTACAATAACCTTAAAAATATAATGATGGCTATATATAAAAATACTTTCATTTGTTTCCACATATTACATCATTACTCATGTGACGACCAATATCTTGACCAATGGATATTTTCCTCGTAATCAATACAGAAACAAACTTGTTATTGTTGAAGAGAAAAACCAATCAAAAATACTTTTTATAATGTAAAATTGTAATTTGTGGTTCTGTAATTTTTATATTTTCTTATATTTATAGTCGGTGTGGTATTATGTTTGGACCAAATCTTAAAAAAAGCCCATACATTAACATTGTTCATAGTTCATGATAAAGAGCCCATTAAATTGTTTTGTTGTGCTATAAATAAAACAAAAAATTCTCTAGTTGCTTGTCACTATAACACTATAACATTTTAATATTATTTTAATATTTATTTTTCATAATGCAGAAGAGGGAAAACAACGTTTGGAAGGTTGGTATAACAAATTATTTTCAGTTTCGTAAAGGATTATGATTAATTATTTTACTTCTCTCAATTGCTTGAGTTAGAAAATGCTGTGTAAATTTTTTCAATTTTCAGAATTTTTTAATGACTTTTAATTAAGCATTAAAAATTCTTTTCATTGCATGCATAAAAATGTCCGTGTCTGAACGTAAAGTGCAGCATGTCGTAAGCAACCATCTTAACTATTTGTTGTTTTTCCCAGTTAAAACAAAGTCAGTTATTGAAAGGATCATTGCTTTGTAAACATTTGTAGAGATCATTGAGTAAATTGAATTTATTTTAAGAAGATTTTTGGTGATAACTTTCAACATTCAGATACTAAATTTCATATTTTATGTTGATGTGAAAACGATGCGTGTTTTATCCATTGCATAATTGCTCAATCTAGTATAACAGATCTAGCGTTTCTCAAAATGAATTATAGATGCTCAATTTAAAATTCAAAATAAATTCAAACCAAAACTATTGAATTTGAATTTCAAAAAAATTAAACTTTATCAATGGACTTGCCTCTATGTATTTGGAAATGGAAATATATCCAAGCATGAGCTGCAGCAATTTATTTTGACGTAACCTAGATCCGCCTCTGGATTTATTGAGTTAGAGGTTGTTATAGTCATGCAATGAACTAATCGTAGAACGTCGATTATTGCGCGTGAATTGTATGATAACCAACTCATTTCTACCGGAGTAATTGTTATTTCCATATCAAAGTAAAAACATCTGTCTTTTCTTATCCAGAGAAAAACAAAGCAATGTTATATGTTATGTGATATTGCCAAAACAAATAAAAATGTGAATTGTTGAATTTATCAGTCCTTTTTTAATCGTTCCTGATTTGTACTTCACCTTTAAGTTCAAGAATTGTTGCGTCAACCATGGAAATGTTTTGATAAATCAATAATGCATCAGGAAAAGTTTAAAAGGATGGAGGAATATGGACGCAAACATCCAGAAAAAGTTACACTGCTCAACGAATTGCGTGTAATTTTCAAGGAGGAGTTTTTGCTTGGCAAGGGAAGTGATGGAACCCGTGTTTACGTTGCCCTGGGAAATAATGGTTATGGAAAAGCAGTAAAGCGAATACACAAAGATAGCAGCGGCAAAGACTTTGCAAAGCGAGAAAAAGAAATTTTTAATGAGTTGAATGCAAAGCGTTCAAATTATGTTGTGAATTTTTGGGATTTAAAAGAGAACCTTGACGAAGAGTATTTGTACATGATATTAGATTTGTGTGAAGAATCATTAGAGAGTTATGTGAAATCATCTTCTTTGCAAGATCTTCAAAAAGTCGTACCTAAAGTTCTTATTCAGGTCTTAAATGGTCTAGTTCACCTTCACAGCGGTAAGCGCCCTATTCTTCATCGGGATTTGAGACCCTCGAACGTTCTTCTAGATGTACAAGGAAATTTTTTAATCGCTGACTTTGGTATAAGTCATATGTTATCTGATGAAACTTCGACACATCGGAGCATAGAAAGAGGAGCTAAATATTGGATAGCTCCAGAGTCATATGACGCATCAGATGAATCAATTGATAAAGTTCGTTACAAAAAAGAGTCTGATGTTATGGTAAGTTCTTGAAGTAGAACTAGAGGTCCAATTACATCTCAATGTTTTATTTGCATTTAATTAAATATTGGTATTTGGTAGTGATACTGATTTTACCTCAATTTTTTTCTTTACCTCGATTGTATCGTCATATAGTGTCAACCTTAAATTTAAATAAAAATAAATTAATTTTCGATAAACGTGTCAGTTACAATTGTATGTTCTATATTTAGATTGCTTTTGATACATATATATGGCTACAATTCTATCTGGAGAAAATTTTTTAGATTTTTTTAAGCTGCACATTTATTGTTGAGTTCTGCAAATCGCAAATAAATTTAATCTTTAAGGTTTTAATATCCACCACTGACTGTTTATGACAATTTTTTATTGAAAATAGAATGCCGGAATGGTGGCTTATTATGTTGCAACAAAGGGAAAACATCCTTTTGGACCTGAGGCGTATAGACTACAAAACATGTTGGAGGGAAAACCCGTTGGTTTGAAAGAAATCAGGGATGTTCAACTTAAAGATCTTCTTTCATGGATGCTACAACGACAACCCAGAGACAGGCCATCTGCCGATAAGGCATTAAAGCACCCTTATCTACAATCAGACGAAGAGAAAATTAACATGCTGTGTGATATGGGAAACCAACTGGAGTTGAAACATTCACAAGGTAATGGTTCCATTACACTATAATGTTCAAACTTATTTGTCATTTTCCCTGTAATCGTACATTCGTTTCTTAAGATGTACTATTTTGATGTTGATTTCTGGTAATGATTATTTTTGTTTTGAGTTTTCAATTATCCTCTCGCAACTCTCAACTGCTTTTAGTTTTTTGTATTTTATGCATGCTGTCAAGACGCTTACTATTTCATTATTTCTTATTTGGGGTAAAGTTGGTATTTTTGGCAGCCTTATAACATTTCTTTATTTCAAATTACCCTTGCAACCATGCATTCTTAGATACCAAGTTGGTTGAACAACTTGAAGAAATCAATGGAAATAAAAGTGAAGACATAAATTACGATATGGATCTTGACGGTAAATATAATTCTTGCTTTGTCACTCTTAAATCATAAATCTTAGGCTTGTAGGAGAATAAGAATGAAACATAAGCAAAATGATGAGGTAAGACGAAAAGAAGAGCTGATGTGTTTGTTTGAAAGGATACGGTTGTATATTTAGTCATTGAATTAGGAAAGTCCATTAAGCTCCAAAGTGCAGTTTTATTTTTGATGATTTCACTGAATGATGATTCCGTGACAATATGCAAGAGATACCTGCAAGCTTAAAAATTTTTCTATTAATTAAAATTTTTTATCGGTATCGTATAAATGCTCTGCATTATTTCTCTCAACTCCATTCAACTTCAGTTGTGTACATTGTGTTTTAAACTTATATCTGAGAAAGTTCAATATTTTGTTTGTGTATTTCTCATTCGAAAGTAGTTTCGTCTTTCTGGCTGCAATTTGAGTTTGCTTGAATTAAAATAGTTTCCTTTTGCTTCCATCTAGTAGAAATTGAAAGAGCAAATGGAAAGAAAAACAAAGAAAACCCAAGCCATGACGGTATTTGATAGCAACAAACTTATTTGTTTTTGTGGAAGGGGTCTATTGTGCATTGTTTTCGTGGATTAGTTTGAAGTGGTATGCTTTTATCATTTGTTCATTTGTTCAAAGTTGTGAATAAGTCGTTTGTAGGTGCCTGTAATGGTTGTGATCTGTTCAGTTTCATAATGGGTTTTTTCTGAGTTAGAATAGCAACTTTTTAACGTGAATAGTCTGTATTCAGTGCTGTATGTGATGAATTATGCCGAGTCCTTGCAATTAATGTTGTGATTTGTCATTCGATGATGTTCGGGAATGTGGTTGGTGTTTTAAAACGTGTTTTAAATAGTTATTCTCGTGGTGTAGAGCGTCTGTTAAAACACAAACGAGTTGTGCACTTAATTTTAATGTTCCATTCGTGGTTGTTATCTGTCATATAGAATTGTAACATGGTGGTCTAGCGTGTGTTGATTTGTTGTATTTACCGTAGCGTTAAGCGTTACTTACAGTACAATGGTAAACACTACAAGTAGTTACACGGAACAGCAACAGACTCGCCCGTCTCTGTTGTAGTTGTTAAAAAGTTTTCATGTAAACTGTAAAGGAAAGTGTGCGCTCTTTACCTACCAATAGGTACTACTTTTTTTGGTTCAGCTTGGTAGACAATATAATCACTAAATTAGTAAACTTTTATCGTTATTTTTGTGAAAGTTGTTTTGTTAAGAATTTATTTTGTTTGCTTTTTTACATATACATCGAATTTAGTATTTTTGAAAGATGAATTGGATATGGAAGAGAACGAAGATGTTGCTCATAGTCAAAAGCTGGATTTTTTCGATAAATCATCAATACAAAGCAGCGCGGGCGGATTTGGGTGGAAGGTTGGTGACATGGATAGGTTTCGTCGTTTTTTGGTGTTGGGAAGCGATAAAGGCACTTTCTATATTTGCGAAAGAACGTTAGACTCAGAAAATGAGCAAGTCGTTTTGAATCTTTTAAAAGCAGGAAGGGGTGTTGAAGTTGTCAATGAAATAGAGAAGTATAGCATTGAGGGACGAACCGTAAGACAGCAGACCATCGTGTTTGCTCTCGCTGTTTGTGCACGGAAGGGAGATCTTGCCACAAAAAGACAAGCATACAAGGCTTTACCCAAGGTCTGTCGAATTCCGACTCATTTGTTTATGTTTATTGAGTTCTGCAAGTTGTTCAGTAAGCCTGGCAAAGGTTGGGGTCGTGCTCACAGGAATGCCATAAAACGATGGTACAAAGAAAAAGAGCCAAAGAAACTGGCCATGGATATCACCAAATATCAAAAGCGTAAAGGATGGTCACATCGAGATGTTGCAAGGTTAATGCATTTCAAGTCAGAAGGAACTGATGTTTCTGATGAGTTGTTTGTTATAATGAAGTATGTTGTTTGTGGTTGGAAGAAACTTTTTGAATATTTCTTTCCAGAAGATAGGACAGTTCTGCATCGTTCTATTGGAGTGAATGGCAGTGCAATGTTGGAATTTTTTAGGGCAGTTGAAGATATAAAAACAGCGCAAGAGGAGGCAAGAGTGATTGAACTGATAAATCAATATAATCTTGTTAGAGAACATATTCCAACACATTGGCTTAATTCTAAAGAGGTAAAAACATTTCATGTTTTATGTCCCTTCTACGTACAGTTTTGAAAGTGTAATCAAGGGCAGTGTTTATCATTTGGAATGATTTTAGATACAAGTTTTTCAAATATGTATAAAACATATCATAATATTTTTGTTCTAAGAGACTGCTTATGTTAATCATTATCATAATAAACACATATTTATTATTTATAATTATATCCTCTTTTTAAGGTTTGGAGGGCTCTTGCTCAAAAAATGCCAATGACTGCAATGCTTCGAAATCTTGGCAAAATGACAATAGTTGAACTACTAGACGAGCAGTTGGCATTGTCCCTTGTATGTGAGAAGTTACTCAATCAAGAGAAGTTAAAGAGAGCTCGCATTCACCCATTCAATGTTTTGGTTGCACTAAACACCTACTTGGATGGACATAGTGAAAGGGGAAAACTGACATGGAACCCAAATGAAGCTATTGTTAATGCATTGGAAGAAGCTTTTTACTTATCATTTAAGGTTTGCAATGTCTCCTTCCATGATTGACTAAATATTGTCTTATGATCAAATCACAAAATACTTTTAATTTTTTGTTGTGAATTTGTTTTTCAGTCTAAAATAATTATGAATATATCAGCAAATACCATGACCAGTCACTTTTCTAAATTAAAATTGTTCATTGAATAGGTGCATTAAACCGCAGAAGTCTAAAATGTAAATTTATGGCTATGCTTGCTAAAAAATTTAAATTAAATAACATTGACGCACTAAAATGAAAGGTGAATTCAGCCAACTCAGACCTACATGTTAAATAACCTAGATTTTGAAGTTTCACAGCCCTTCTTAACTTGACCACTGGAAAATTCATCTTCTCTATTTTATTGCATAGTCGATTCAGCCAACAAACAAGAGATACATGTTGGCATTGGATGTCAGTGGTTCTATGTCTTATTCTGGTTGTGCTGGTACACCGTGTTTAACGCCACGTGTGGCTGCTGCAGCCATGTCCATGGTTACAGCTCGGACCGAAAGCAAACATCTGTTTGTTGCTTTCTCTCATGAAATAGTTCCGCTGATGATCAGCAGTGACATGACTTTCAATGAGGTGCTAGAACTTATGGAATTGGTATGTAGTGTGAACTTATATTAATTTGTATCGTTTTTATTACTTTAAAAACATAACCTTGTTCCTGTTTTCCATTCTCTAGATACCAAATGGTGGGACAGATTGTGCTCAACCAATGTTGTATGCAATTAAGAACAATCTAGAGGTGGATGTTTTTATTGTTTATACTGACAGTGAAACAAAAGCTGGGTACATCCACCCAAGCAAGGCCTTGAAAAGGTATCGTGAGCATACTGGTATTCAAGCAAAACTCATAGTTGTTGCTATGACTTCAAATGGTTTCACGATTGCTGATCCAAATGATTCTGGAATGCTTGATATTGTTGGCTTTGACTCAGCTGCCCTGCACGTTATGAGAGAGTTTGTCTTAGGCTGAAGGAACTGCAAAAGATTTTTTCACAGATCTTTTTTTGAATATTACCATGAATATAAATTTGAAATTGCTGAACAAATTTTGCCTGTGTAACAGAATGCATGAAATGTTTTTATTACTTATTTCATTGTATTTAGTACAAATGTATGTACTATGCACTACGACATTGCTTCATTTGAATTGTTAATTGCATGAATTAATTGTCAGACTTAGCCAGTCGAGAAAAGTGCACTAGATCGAAGATTTTAAAACGTTATCATATTGTTTTATCCAGCTAGCGTGCACAACTTCCTTCTTGTCATTTGCATCTAATTACTTCTGATTTTCGTGAGTTTTTGTTGATAAAACTAATTGGTTCATTAATTGAACAAACTTATAAATCAATCGATTGATTAATTTGATGTCGCGTTGATACAATAAAAATCTACTTTTGATAGTAGCATTTTGCACTCTATCTCGTTCACTAACTTCAACACAAAAATAGTGTTCATGAACCATGATTACGTCATAAATAGAGATGTAAACACCAACAAAATCCCAATTACCAAGCAACTCGAATTCTTTATTATTTCACAAATATAACATTTTGCTTTAAAGAAACTTAACTGGGATTTGTCCATTATTACAGAAACGTCGGATCCAACGTAAAATGGGCCATCAAGGATGTATTGTTTAAGTTTAAGAACCATTGGTTTGTCAAATATATTAGAAGCATCTGGGCATACAGTGATCTTCTTTATAACCTCATACTTCAATTCTTGGCCTTCTTTCTCATTCTCTGTTCGTCTGTCCAACAAATACTCAAAAAATCCTGCAATGACAAACATTTCATTTTTAAGTTGTGTGTAATGCTTTGAAAGACATGTCCCTTGCAAAAAAAATATATTTTTTTGGAGAAAACTATAGTTTTTTAAGAAAACTACAGTATTTAGGAGAAAACTATAGTTTATCAAGGAAAACTATAGTTTATCTGGGAAAACTATAGTGTTTAGGAGACAACTATAGTTATTATGAGAAAACTGTGGCGTTTTTGAGACAACTATAGTTTATATATAGAACAAGTACTGTGTATAGTAGAAAACTATAGTTTATATATAGAACAACTACTGTGTATAGTAGAAAACTATAGTTTATGTGGAAAACTATAGTGTTTAGAAGACAACTATAGTTATGAGAAAACTGTGGCGTTTTTGAGACAACTATAGTTTATATAAGGAACAACTATTGTGTACAGGAGAAAACTATAGTTATCTGGGAAAACTATAGCGTTTACGTAGGAGACAGCTATAGTTTTATGAGAAAACTGCAGCGTTCAGGAGACAACTATAGTTTATATAAGGAACGACTATTCTGTACAGGAGAAAACTATAGTTTATCTGGGAAAACTATAGCGTTTACGTAGGAGACAACTATAGTTTTATGAGAAAACTGCAGCGTTTAAGAGACAACTACAGTTTATATAAGGAACAACTATTGTGTACGGGAGAAAACTATAGTTTATCTGGGAAAACTATAGCGTTTAGGAGACAATTACAGTTTTTATAAGAAACTATAGCGTGTAGGAGACAACTATTGTTCATATGTGTATAGGAGAAAGATATAGTTCATCTGAAACAAGCGGTGAGAAAACAACACTATAGTAGAAAAGATTATGTATCTTAGATCTATGTATTGTTATATTATGGGAATACATTATATTTGGATAGGAATATTGCAAGAAATATCCTATTAACATGGCTTATCTTATATTTACAAAGCTTACGTGCTGTTTACGGCACAATAGACCTTGTGCACAATTAATAAATATAACCGACCGACAGGAATATAACTACTTCATTTCAACCATATTAGGCATACTAATCAGATAAATTTATTTTTTCTGGACAACTTTGATACATTTGGAGACGATTTCATTTAAGTTCAATATAACTACCTCTGGTGACTCTATCATCTCTGATATAAAATCAGACGTAATGCTCAAAACAGTACACCTATACATTTGATTTCTTACAACGTTGAAAAGGGTGCATGCAATTACGTTCAATTTAGGACAAACACATTCTTCGTGATGAGGTATTAGACGGTTGCATCTTTCAAAGAAACCAATTCAGTTATTTTACAAAAAAATGTTTTAACTTGACGTGTTACTTTAACGTAGCAGTTTTTCCGCTTCATAGATCTGTTGTATTGATCGCTTTCGTAAAGTTTTCTATTAACAATGAATCGGTTGTATTCGTACACAACGCGGTTGACCACTCCACCAGCAGCCACTGTTAATGGTACTCTTTCTTCCACGGGAACGTAACGAATTTTTGCTGTACACAACGCTGTAAGATTTTGCGACAGTTTCACTGCTTTTTTTGTCAAGGACTTTCCATGTACCAGTTTTTTAGAAAGTTCAGAGACCAGTTCGTTTCTTTGCACACATTGTTTCATGAACAACGGTAACGTTTTCAAAACAGCGTACGTTTGGCAAACCTGACCAGAAACATACTGTGTTCCTTGGATCATATTCTTCAGAGTAGTATTGTTGCTTTCAAACAAAAATATTGATACAGTCCATAGCGGTCCACACATCTCAGTACTCTTAGCCAGGTGAGACAGTTGGTGAACATTAGATGTACAATGGGAAACACCATACAGCTGTTCCATCTTCACAATAAACAGATCAAGTGCAGCTTTAACTTTTGCCATGTCATTTTTTGAAATAGAATTATCAAGCAGCTTGTGAAGACCCCACACAAACACGAAAAAATGGTTGAGGTACGGTGCTGGAAGAACTCCTTGCATATTATAAGTGAGTAATACAAAACAAACGTTTTGTATTCATTACCTTTCCAGTGTTCGCGTGTAGTTAAAGATCTTGGAAGCCGTCGTACTTCTTTTGTAACAACGATGTTCTTGATTAGACTGTCATAAATTGTTTGTTTGGAAGGCTGTCCAATGTAACCATGGGATTTCATGGTTACTGCTGTCAAACCAAAGAGATACAAGTTGACGTGCCACTCCAAGTAGAGCACAATTTAAAAAGTCAGGAACAAAACCATTAACCATGTCAAAGTGACTAATCTTTGAAAGCATACTTGGCCCTTTCACATCCATTATTGCAGTTTTCTTTTTCAAAGCTTCTAATGCCCACAATTCCATTTCATGATGGGTGCCTCGTCAAATGGATAAACTCGCGTGCTCCCTCTACCACGCACTACCTGTATTCCTAAAACGCGAAACGTATCCAAATAATATGAATACAAAGCATAGCATAATCCTGCTTGCAAGTTGTTTATTAAATCAAATGAAGTCACATGGCTTTAACTCTAGTTTTGAATTGACGACTGACGCAGAAATGTCAGTCATTTGAGCCTGTGCACATTGCACAATTTGATTCATTCTCACAATGGCAAAACGGGTTGAAAAGGGCAAGATTTGTCTGAAAGTTCTAAAGGAAACAAGTTAAGCCGTATCTGTATTTGGCAAGTGGCAAACATTTCAAATGACAAACATTTCTGGGTCTGTACAAGAAAGATTATGCGAGAAATGTCGTTGAGAGTAAACTTGCAGATTTGGTTAGAATCAAATGTCACAGTTTAAATCGCATATGATAAAAATAAAACACAGTATACCTGCATGGAGACACCAATCGCACCCACAAATGCCATTAAACTGCTTCGAATTTTTTAGTTTAGGTCTTGCGGCGGGATCAGCAGAGCAAATAGGGGCAAAAAACCGTAAACGATGACCATGGAATAACAATCCTAAGACAAATTGATACAGTTTTTAGTATGGATTGAACTTATCACAACCACGAAAATAATCTTTTGATTCATTTAATAAAGGGGCGAGTAACTTTCATTGTCTGGTAAAAACAGCGCAACAAAAGTGAACCTGTAGGGCTAAACTTACTGTGGACAAACTTACTGAGTCTTACCTTGCATCAAGTTAGGCTAAAATATATAAATGTTAGAATGAACATTACCTCAGGGAAAAAGTAGTGGGGGGGGGGATGGGTCAATCAAGCTCCCTCTTTGGTGCTGTGCTTATTTGGTCTAACATATCGCTAAACTGCCCAAATATAACTGAAACCTGGTACATGCACATGATGTTGTTACTTTTAGTTGCCAGCTTTTCGGTTTCTTTAACAAAAGGTTGCAGAAGACGATTTGTGTTTAATTTGCACTTTGAAAACCATAATGCTGGCATGACTATATGCTTTTTACGAAGATCTGTTGGCAGTTCTAAAATGGTACACTGAATTAGCCATAGATCTTTATTAGATGACCCATAAAATAAGCAATAAAATTTTTAAACAAAAATAGCAAATGATCTTTATGAGATAATAAAATAGTTTATTATAGCTAGCACATTTTCAATTCATAAAATAGTTCACAGAAATTTCTCATCAAAGACAATTTAAACATATCTCAAGGTAGCTAAGCAGATCAAGCACTTACTAATTAAATTTATTCATACACTATAAATGATTTGCACATTTTACATAAATTGCAAATGCTCAAATCACTAGCTTCGAATATCACTACGTTATGAAGTTTGGATTATTCTTTTCTTCATACAACAGATGCATTACGTAATCAAATGCAATACGAACAAACGTGCAATTAAACAAAGACAATTACCTACAGAAATACAGGAATACCATCAGCATTCCACAGCAGAGAAATATCATTTGGTCCATAACCATAAACTTCCTTAAGTTTTTTGTGCACATGTCCATCCGTGGCATCAGTTATAAAGTCATTATCATGATGCTTTACAGGTTAGTTAAGTACACACTGGGCAACAGTATCATTCCGAAGAATTAGTTCAAGTTGTGATTGTAACGACAAGTAAGAAAAATAAGATTTATTGTTCTTTGCACTTTTCACATCTCTTTGCACATTGCATGAGCACTTTTTATTTACTTCACACATGTCACTTGGGCCAAAGTAAAATGGAGCACTCCTCACAAAACTTTGGTGATTGAATTTCTTGTTAAAGAGGTACTTTGTTTCAGGCTCAACATTTGGTAAATACAAATTCATGATTTTCAGAAAGTCACTTAATGCTTCATCTGTCAGTTGGTGTTTGATGACAGATGACATCAAAAGAACAAGGGACTGACTGCGGGTCAAAACTGCATCTTTGTGTATAGGATGGTTTCTGCCACTAACAAAACCATAATTTTGCACTTCACCACACTTTGTACTACCAAGGGAATCATCCACATCATCACTAAAATCATTTGGAAGTTTTGAAAGCTTCACTCACCTGTCGAGATATATTTTTCTTGAGCAACATAAACAACTGCAGCAACACATTGTTGACATATACCATGCTCAAATTGAGCAGGATTTTCACACATCCAAACCGGTAGAGCCAATCTCCATTAATGCTAGAGAAGCATAATCATTGATATAGATTTATACATTATATTTGCTTATTTGATTGTTCAAATTGGACAGTATATGGTTGAATTTTCAACTTTTGTATTGGATATATTGCCTGCACGTATATAAATGCTGATTCCCTGTTATTATTGCAAAAAATTTTCGTTAGGCTGATTGAAAGAAGACAGAGGACTAGCAAATTAAGTGTCAAGGGAAAATTTAAAATTGGTTGGTTTACCTTTGGAGAACCAATACATATATTCAAAAGCGATAGATATTCTGACGATAGTTCATAAACGCAACCTTCTACGGAACATTCAGGATCTTGGACTACGTTTGGAAAGCCCATGTCACTACCAAATGCACCTAAGACTTAATGGCAATAAAATTGATTTGAAAACTCTCTTAAAGACACTGCTTCTGTTATTTCTGACCTCGTTTATTAAAAACAAGTCTATTGCCAAATAGCAATCCCCAAAGACGTGATCTTATTTTGCACCGTAGTTGTATAGACAACCTAAATGCAAGCCCCAAATTCGTCAAATCAAAAGATATTTTCTTTTAAGTACAGATGGCAGTAGATACAAATCATTATACCTGTTTTGATTCACATTCAAACCATATGCAAAGTACAAAAAATGACCAAATTTCGGGCTTGTGTTGACTTCAAACTTCCATGGAGAGAAATCGGAGACTTTTTCATTTCTAAATAAAAAACAAGGTTTGTAAATATTCTATGAAATTTACTGATTATTTGTTTTTCAATTTAAAGTTTTACCTTGACAGCTTATTCACGGGTTTCCTTATTGCAATAATTTCAAGCTGAATTGTCTCACCGTTTTTAAAAGTTCCTTTGTTTTGTTCTTACTACAAAAAGTGAAGCAGATGGTCATTTCACTCTCCAAGTCTTTTTGTTGAGCTGATTTAAACTCATAAACTAAAAAATATCAACCTCACATTTTAGCTTTATGTACCTCTTTTTTGTCATCTAGTTTTGGGGACAAAACATTGAAGTGTTTATCATTTGGCAAAAAGCAACCCATTCATTTATTCACAGGAATTTCAATGCTCTCCTTGTTGTAATTTGCAGACTTATTTCGAAGAACAGGATTTGTCTTTTGATGGTTTATAAAACTGTTTCGTTTCGAGGGTGCGGATTTTTGTCTTGAATCTGTCAACTCAACTTTGTATTTTGAGATTTTTTTTCTAGAAACGTCATAGCCACCGTCCACCAAAGCTTTCCAAATATCTCTCGCGTGGACACTGTCCTCGTCTGATTGACGCTTGGTATTTTTTTCCTTGAATAAATGGTGTTTCTTGAATTTGACGATTGTATTGTGCACTTCTTTTGTAACATTTCTGAGTAGTTAGTATTTTGTCGATCTAAGTTTGAATAACGATCATGTTCAATATGTTCTTCTTGGAACTTGGAGTAGTAAAGAGTCATCTTTGTTTTCTTCTGTTGAATTAATAAGTGACATGTTTGTTACTCTGCATTTAGTGTTGTTTTGTGAAGCACGATTCTCCTGCAAATTAAAGTCATTTTCTGTCAAAAAGTAGCCCGTTCTTGAAGAAACTGATAACTTTTTAATGATTAGATATTTATAAACATCATCGTCGATTTTTACGCTATCACCGGAAGATAATTCCACATTACAGTGAGTTGATTTTAGATGATTGTCGTTATCATCATGTAAGCAACTAACATTATGAATATCTGCTATATGAATATCATAGATTCTATCTAAAGGATCTGTGTTACATGATTTCCTGTTATCTAAATCCCTTTCACCTTTAGAAAGTTGACCAGTCCAAACAACAACACCAGCTGCCTGTTTGGAAGCATTAGAATCATGAATATCAATAACATTGTCATTTGCTTCTTCATTTACAGAAATGATTCGTTGATTTTGTGCAAAGTCATTTATATCATGCCCTTTTACACCATCACCATGATCTAGTTGAGTTGTCTCACATTGTTCTGCCAGCAACAGCCTACGAAGATCAACGGTCAAAATGTTTTGAGAGATTCGTTGGCTGGCTGAAGAACACCTTGGTACATCCGGACTTTGGACGTTTTCATAAACTTGAAAACCATCGAAAGAGTTCTTGAAGCAATCTAGAAGTGAATAGCACAAAAAATCCAAGCTAAACAACATGATGATAAAACTTTGCGACATTTCATTTGTAGAAATATCTGCTCATCTCGATATAGAGATGCTAATAAAAAATTACTTAGCTCTCCAAAAAGGCCCTCGATAAGATTTTTCAAGAAAAGCGTAATCCTCAATTTGGGAATTTACATTTTGGATGCCTAGACATTTGGCAACGCTAGGCTTAGAAAGAAATCTTGCCGGGAAAAAGAGAGTCTTCAACGGTCCATTTTTCTTAAACTATTTTGTCGAGATACGGGACGATCTTGTGGTGGTTTATCTGGGAGAAGACTACAAACATATTCTGTTGCTAGTCTTGTTTTCAACTTGCAATGGCTGTTGGGGTCGGTCGTCTGAAGAAAACAAAATAGAAATGTTATTTTGTAATTAGCAATCGGGTTTGTCGTTTGTTTTTAACTTTTCTTTGTACACTACACTTAAATGTGTAATCAATAACCATTAATCAATCATTGATTATCGTTTTCTGACACAAACCGTGATCGACCTGTAATTCTTAATACTGAAGAGTATCGTAGTGTAAATGAAAATACATGCTCACTTTTTTAATCATATGTTTGATTGGTCGTTCATTGTTTCGTGAATGCTTTAGTTTAACATTAAATGGAAGATCACGTGAACCAGTTTTTGTCACCAATTGTGTTTTTGATGGCTCAGCTATGACCCTCTCTTTTCTTGCATCAATGCAAAGGTATTTACTGGGTTGCTGGAAAGAAGTAGAAAATTATTCTTTAATATATGTTTTCTTAAAACTCCACGAGAACATAGTCAAATCTATTTTATAACATTAGAGCAAAGTAAATACTTTACAGTGCCAGACTGCGAGTTTCAGTTTGGGTGGAAAAGCAGCTGATAAAATTAAGTGACATACGCTTTGTTGTTAATGATAAGTTAAAAAAGATTTCATACAGCAATAGAATCAAGTTGTCAGCAATACCTGATAATGAAATGGACTTTGCAAATAACTTTGTATTTATCGTTCATTTCATACTTTGATACTTCCATAATTATTTGTTACAATAAGTTGGTACAAAAATGAATGCTTCAAAATTCTTTATTCTTTACAGAAATTCACTCTCCATTTTCCTTTCCTTTTCATAAACACAAACTTGCTAGTAATAAAATAACACAGAGGTTTTTAGTTTCGTTGGTACAGTCAACTAAGTTGATATTTTGGTTTCCAGAGAAACGAAAGAGCTTCTCGATCCGTTCGTAGCGAGTAGAATGAGACTTATTTATTAAACTCAGGATTTGAACAAAATTATTTTCTAGAATGCAGTCTATATTTAAGGTTTTAGCAAGTTTGTAGATTTCGGAGACTCTGTAGCATGTGCATAAAAAACTGAAGGAAGTCACGGTCCATTCCTATCTCGAAATACGTTTTTATAAACAAGATTAAAATCGACTAAAACAGAACATCTCTCCTTGTACCTAGTGCATGGTATTTCATCCGTCGTTATATTTTATAACTGTTTGGGACTTTTCCAATTCATTGCCCTGTTATCAATTAAGATCATGGAATTGAAACGAAAATCTTCACGACCATAATTAAAGATAAGTTGGGTAAGCCAGCTGGTAAAGGCCGTTGAGTCTTCAGTGGTCTGGGGACAAGTAAAATGATTACATGAATCTTAATTTTTTTTAAATGGAAACATCGCTTTTAAATGTTGGTTAAATGTTAGCAATAATATAAATAAATATTTACGAAATGAACTTACATGAAAATAGTTTTATAACCATTAAGCTAGTTAAGTAAAGGAGAAATACATTTTTATAGGTTTTATTATCTGTAGATTTTACAACGATTCACAGTTTGTTTATCATCAACCATTCAGGGTGAGTCGATAGTGACAGTATGTATTGGTTTTATATTTGTTTGCTCTCAAAGCTCTTCTCTTGGTTTTGTACGTATCAGCTTGTGATTATTGTGAGAAGTACTTTACAATTATTTGAATGAGGTAAAATGAGATTAGTTTCAGTAAGATATTAAAGGAAAGCTTGAACAATGTCAGAAGCCAATGAAGGTAGATTATGAGAAGTATCATGTGACAGGATTAATACCCAGAAAAAATAAAGAATGTCATAAAAATCGTGAGATATTACCTGATATCTGTAATTTCAATAGTGTTGAAGTCAGTTAGATGATGCCATTTTGATGATTTCAGCTTCCTCAATTTTTTTGTTATCACAACTTTACACCAAATGGGTGACTGTGTGTCACTAGGTCATATGATGTTTTTCATGTACATTTAGGAATATATTTCTGGAAAAACATTGGAGAAGTGTTTTGGGATGCTCTGTTTGTGATTATTTCTTCGAAGCTCAAGGAAAGGTAAATGAATTTATGTGTAAATTGTTGTTTGTTCTTGTTTGGTTGAGAAGTTTTAAGGTACTTTCTTGAACGGTTTTCATGTTATATTTGTCTGACAAAAATGATCCTAAACAAATTAAATATCATCTTTTATGTTCAGGCTAATTCTCCAGAAGACATTCCTCCTGTACAGGATTCAGTTATCTCATCAGTATATTTCGCCATGATCTCTTCTTTGTTTCTGTTGTTGAAAATGAAGGTTTGTGTTTATATTAAGGTCAAGGTCCGAATTAGCGCTTCGCAAATCGCAAATTGCGAAGTGATTTCGATTTTGGCAAAATATTGCGAAGCAAATTTCGTAAAATTGCGAAGCTCATTTCGCATTTCTTGTTATTTAATGTAAATTTGCTTACTGAAAGCACTCTTTTTATATTGCTGTGATGGATGTGTTTTTATTATGCTTTGCGACCAGTCCCTAAGTTTTAAAATACGTCAAAAGAAATATCAAATGATCAAGTTTCTTGCACTATTTGCATAATTTCAAAGCGTTGCTATTACATCATGCCTCAGGAATGTGACTAACAGGAATTTATCCTAAAATGGTCGCAACTTTTTAAAAAACATCGCTGTCAATTGTAATATGAAACGTAACATTTTCAATATTATCTGAAAACGCGAAGTGACAAAGTCACAAACAAATACACACTGCATACGTTAACGATAGCAAAGCAAGACTGTAGAAAATTGGGAGCGAGATTTAAACGTTAAATTGATCAAAAGTCTTAGTACAGATAAGAAAAAAGTAGAAGCGTTAAAATGTTCTGTCTGTGTGGAATTCTCCTCAACAATTTCTTAAAGAGCTGGTTTTTCGCAAGCATGGATAGATGGGACAACATCTGTCAAATTAGATAGTTTGAAAAAACATGTCCAAGGTAAAGCACATCAACATGCAAAACGTCTTTTTGATCAGAAGTCCTTGGGCGAAACTTTTGGCGCACAAGTTGTTGAACGATCTCCAATTGGAAGAGGTTTGATGAAAATGGCAGAGATTGACAGGAAAGTAATGATTACTCGTTTCAACACTGCCTACTATTTAGCCACTTCAGAAAGACCCTATAGCGATAGTGAGGGCATCATTACGTTAAACGAAATGAACGGAATGATTCGCAGTTCCAAATTACGAAACGAGCGTGCTATGGCAAACATCACTGATTCAATTGCTGACAAACTCAAGCAGAAGCTGATGTCTGAATTGAAGAAAACACGCTATTTTTCTTTGTTGACCGACGGCAGCACTGACAAAGGCGTTTCTGAACAGGAAGTTTTGTATCTCCTTTTTATAAGCAGTGAAGGTAAATGCAATACACTGAACTGAATTATTTCGATTCTTGTCTTTAGATGTGTTATTTCTATTTTTTCAATGGACAGGTATCCCTCAAATAAGGTTTTTAGCAATTGAATCACCTACATCAACAAGTGCAGATGGCCGTAAGAAGATGATACAGGATTGCTTTCCCGGTTTCACATGAACAATTTCCCAAGACAACTGGCAGCGCTAAACGTGGATGGAGCTTCGGTAAATTTGGGTAGCATAAACGGATTTGCAGCCAAACTTCGCAAAGACTCACCATGGCTGCCTACTATTCATTGCTTCAACCATCGCCTTGAACTGGCTGTTAAAGACGCATTTAAAGGAACAGGTATGGTGTCACAACAATTAGACACTTCTTTTGTTTAAGATGTTGAATTTCAGAATAATGTGTTCATAATATATACATTACTCATTTAATCAGAATTTGACGAAGTGGATGAGCTCCTGACTAAATTGTATGACTTGTACCAAAAGTCGGCAAAGCGCTATCGCGAATTGAAGGGATTCACCGAGATTTTCGAAAAGAGCATAGCAAAGCCAGCCAAAGCCTTTGGAACGAGATGGATCACCCACAAGTTGAAAGCCATGGAGACCTTTGTTGCCAATTATGGCGCATACATGCTACACATTGAGTCATTGTCCCAAACAGATTCGGTGCCAGCAAAAAGAGAAGAATTGAAGGTTTTTTTGTCAAAATGGACGTATGCAAAGTATCCTATGCTGATGACAGTATACATTGACATTTTGACGCCTTTGAAGGTAATTAGTATAACGCTTCAATGTTCAGATTTGCTGTCTCATCACAACATATATAATCTGGTGCAAAATTAAGAGTTGTGACTTTTATTTTTAGGTTCTTAGCCTGGGATTCCAAAAGGAAGTTCACGACCCTGTTAAAGCGGTGAAGCGCATTAATGAATTTGAGTGGACTATGGTCAAACTAAAAGAATTGATCAATAAATGCGTTCAGGACGACTCCGAAAAACTTATTAATTTTACACGGTTTTTGAAGGAGTGCGAAGCCACAACGTCCAACGACGGTAAGTAATTGATGAATGAGTCCCTGACTTTACGTACGCTTGAAATGTTTTTTTACACAGTAGAACCTCACCAACCTTTGACAAAACGTCAAAAAATTACCAGGCATCAAGTGGAAGAACTTGAAGACGATGAAGATGAAGCAGGTACTTTTAAATGTTGTAATTAGTGTTTTGTAAATGTAATACTTTATGTCGTAACATTGCCTTTTCTGTTTCTGAAGATGTTTCTTACCAAAAAATAAAGCTAAAAGGGTTTAATGCGTCCCGGAGGAAAGTAACGAAAACTTATGAAAAAATGATTAATGCAGTGTCTAGGAGTGTGCAAGGAAGATTTGAAGAGTTCCGAGAAAGTGTGGTGTTTAAAAATCTGCCAGTCATATTGGACTTTGCAATGTGGCCCAAGGACGACGAAGCACTTAAGCGGTATGGCGACAAGGCAATTTTAGAACTGAAAGAGTTTTACCCCGCTTTACTTGTTCAGAATGGATGCAACATTGACAAAGTCGTCTCAGAATGGAATCGTTTGAAGGTTTGAATAGTAAATGCATCGTTTTGCTTTCGTATTATACAGTTGGATAACTGAATATTTCTTCTGCTAGTGCCACTTCAAAAGCTACATAGTTGGAGCAGAAAAAAAGGAAAAATATGTAAATGTATGGCAAAGCATCTGGGAAAATGTCATAATGCAAAAAGAGTGCAAAAATGTACTGCATATAATTGAATTGTTGCTCATAACATCACTCACGAATGCCAAGGTGGAGCGTTTATTTAGCCGAATGAACAGAATTAAGACAACTCTGCGAAATCGTTTGAGTACACAACGACTCGACGCTCAGCTAAGAATTGGTGAAGAAGGATGCCCGCTAGCTGAATTCAATGCGGAGGAAGCTCTTCAATATTGGCTAGAGCAAAAGATTAGACGCCCAAATGGTGCAAAACCAAGAAAGTATCCAGCAGAAAGGCAATCAAAGTCAGCGTCATCTACAAACGTTGTTGATATTGCAGCAGCTACGCTTTCCGATTTGGAAGAGAACGAATGCGAGGATTTTAGTTTATAGTTTTTAATATTAATAAAAAATATTGGCATAATCATGTGCATTGTAAAAATTGCGAGAGGAAAGTAAATCGGGGGGGGTCGATCGGAACGGGGGGGTCGGTACGAACTTATTCGAAAAAAGTTGCAAAGCAATTTTTTTGCGATAATTCCGACATTGAAGGTTAGTTAATGTTTTATTAATGATTATTTTGAATCAATTGCCTCTAATCCAATCAAGAGATTGATTGCTAGTTTTAATTTAAAAAGTATGCATTACATTGCAAAGAAGTGTTATCACTCAACAAAGGACATTGCATTAGGCATTCCTAGTGGTAGATAAAAATAATTTAGCCTTCATATCATGAACATGTGGTGAACACTTTAATGATTATTATTATTGATGAATTGAAAACATTCCTTTCCAGTTCCACCTTTGTTTGTGATTGAATTTCTTCATCAAGTGGTTGACTTAATCAAAGAATATTTCTCTGACTGTACTGAAACAATCATTAAAGAAAATTGTGTCATTGTATATGAGGTTTGAGATTAGTATATTTTGTAGAGAATCCAGCTGTTTGATAGATGAATTTCAATTTTTTTCTGTTGTGTGTGATGTAAAATATGATATTATATCTTTATATTCTTCAGTTATTGGAAGAGATGTTGGATAATGGATTCCCTCTTGCTACAGAGTCAAATGTACTTAAAGAGTTGATAAGACCTCCTAGTATAGTTAGAAATGTTGTTAATAAAGTGACTGGAGATAGCAAGTAAGAACTTTCCTTATGGTAAACATACAAGCCATGTTTTTATGTAGTGATCTATTTGTTGCTCATATAAGGATCAGATATAAATATGAAGCAAATCTGTAAAACCACTAAACATTTCTATATTTGCGTTGTTATTTATATACAACTTACTACAATATTTAGTTAAATTTGTTTTAGTTTACACATTTATGATCATTCTACATATAATTTAAGTTAAATATTTCATATTTTCCTAGTATGAGCAGTCATCTCCCAACTGGTCAATTGTCCAATGTTCCATGGAGGAGAAGTGGTGTAAAACATGCAAATAATGAGGTACGTAGCTATATTCACACTGTTCCATTAAGAAATTTAAAAAGAAAATCCGTTTTTATGCTTTTTTTAGTTGTAATGTGATGAGTGAACTTTTTTCTTTTATGAATTAGTTGTAATAAATATTGCTAATTAGTTGTTAGTTGTAATTATTCATAATTACTTCCAATTAATTCTAATTATCACAAATTAGTCCTAAGTATTTCTAATTAATTCTATTTATGTTATAGATTTACTTTGATGTAGCTGAAAGCATTGATGCCATCATTGATAAACAGGTAACAACATTATAATACTGTGGATTTCTTGTTCCCTTTGTGGAAGATGTATGACAAAAATATGTTTGTTGTTTTTGTTTAATGTTAAATTAAAACTAAGGACATGTACGAACTGAAAACTTATGGCATGTTTAAATTACTAAAATTTTCTGTTTTGTGTAGGGCTCCACCATATTTTCAGAAATACAAGGAACTGTAAGTGCCTTCCTTTTTTTATACTTTGTTATATGTACTCTCTAGTACAACATTTTAAAGATTTTTCCCCTTTTTTCAACGTTGTTCTTTCAGATTGACTGCAACTGTAAATTATCTGGCATGCCTGGTATACTTTGTTATGTCCCTAGCAGTGTGCGAATTAGTTCAGAAAAAACGATGTGCAATTTTTTTGACAAAAGTGTTTCTTTATAGGCATAAAGCGATATTACGTTGATTATTATATAGCGCTAATTGCCAAATTAATATTTTTAAACGTGAACAAATTCATGATTTACGACAGTGTTTTTCTTTAAAACCGCAGATTTTTGCGCATCGTTTGAAAAAGTGATGTGCAACTGTTTTCATTTTAGCTAAAACGATGTGCAAATTGCACATTGCACACCGTTAATTTGCACACTGTAATTATTGCAGAAATAAAATTGCTCAACTATGCAACTCTAGCACGTGATCAACTTTTTACTGGGAACTGTCGAGGAAAATGAAAAGATCAATAATAAACCAATAGTATTGTCAGTTAGTGACAGCTCTGTGTAGTATATTTGTACAGCTCTCTGAAAAGTTTTACAGCTCAGTTATATTTTCCTTGTTCGTAGTATAGTCATGCAATATAACAATATCGATAATGTTTATTGCTATTTGTGCATCTTTTTTTGTATAAATTGAAGAAAAATTAATTAATTTTATGAAAGCTTTTCTGTCTATATAGTCTCAGTTTTCAACAATAAGGTAGTTAATTTGACATGTCTTCAGTCAATGTGAAAATAATATTTATTTTCCTCTACATTGCAGAACCTATGGACCTTAACCAAGGTTAGTATTTTCATTTATTATAGAAGCTAATTATATAAACGTTTTACGATGTATTAATAACAAATAGTTTTATAAGTAAAAAGTTTTTCCCCTGAACAAAGTAATGTTCAATAAAACCTTATTATTTACATTGCAAAGCAATTTACATTAATGTAGTTTACTGTAATACCGCTGGTATCAAATATGATACCACATACTAAAATATGTTAAAAAAACTAAATTTCAATTATGTTAACAACTTTTACCTTTCAGATGAGTATAAAATGCAGTATTTATAGCATATTTATACCCTCTGGTACCTTTATGCACGCGTGGTAAAACATAAAACAAATATTGCATTCAGCGCGTTGTTGTCACTGATCTGTATACTAATTACCCGAACGGGAAACCACATCCAAATTACTATATTTTATTAACACGCGGCTGGGTATCAAAAACATGGATGCCGTCATACCAAATATGGCAAATATCTTAGACTTGAAAACAGTGCACACTCAGAACAACTAAAAATCATAAGTTTGTATTGATAGAAAAGAATCCAGTCACATCAACTGGTGCTCCGTTGACATCGGAAATTACAGGTAAAATCGACACTTTATTTACTATGGATTGCATGTTTAACCGTTGATATTAATTTTATGCAACTATCTGAGGATATGTAGGTACCGATGACTTTCAATTCTTCAAAAAAAAATTTCTCACCGACGATTTCAAAATGAGCAATGACGTGCATAAGAAATTGAAAAGGTAAATCTTACTATTTGTGTTTTTTTGATATTCCTTCAATTCCAGTTGAGTTTTTATCCACGCGAAGATATTTTTCTGCTTTATTGTTCAATCTTTCCGTGATTTTTCCACATTTGCAGCTTTGATTGGTTTTGTGGAAAATGTGGAACAGCGGGTCCAACTGACCAGATGCCATATCTTCACTTGTACATGGTCGTTGATTACGCTAACGGAATAACTGATCATAATATGAAACAAGAAATCAACGAGAAACTTGGTTGGCAAGCTTCAAAGTACATCGCATTCCGACCAAACGACCCGTCAAAGGTGTGGAAGGTTCGACCTCTCTCCAACAAGTGACTCGAAGTGGAACGCGATGATATTCCTTACATGCGATCCACTGGCACGTTGACAATGTTCCGCATGAAAGATGGCATTCCGCATTTAATTTTATTTTAACGTAATAATTTATATTCCCTAAAGTTCATATTCCTTATCAATAATGTAATAATCCAATAGTTCAATAATTATGAATATGTAACTTAATTGAGCAAAAAACAAGCTGTAACTAACCATATATCACATAAATGAAAGCCTTACATATCTTACCGCTGACGTTCTGATTTTTTTCTCATAAATGAAACGAGGATAATAGAAAAAGTGAGAATAACCCATCCGTTTTTCTTCGTAAATAATTTTAGAGCACTTAACGATTGAATTGTCGTTACTATACATGTTATTTGTCTATTTCATAATTATAAATGACCAAGTTGTATGATTTTTGGTTTTTGTTCGATCATTGATAAGCAAAACGTTGTCACTATACATGAATAATAAAGAATAACTTTTTTCCAGTTTTTATTAACTTTTGGTTAGCAATATGATTTATGTCTCCTGGCAATAACTATCATGTTAATGCGTACAAGTTCTTTAACAAATCAACTTTGGCAAAAACCTGGTGAGTGTCGTAGGTATCCAAAAATAACAAAAATGTTAGTAAATTGTCTAAACCTAATTCCTTCTTGAAAACTTATGTTCAACCTTAATTTCAACTCTCGCAAGAATCAAAATGCAACATTACAGAATCACTGCCTGGGTTGTCATTCGTCAAACAAAAGAGACACTACTTAATAATTATACATAACTAATGCATAATTGAGGTTTGTGAACAAATAACTGCCATGACTTAGCTAAGGTATTTAGAAATCAGGCAGAACACATTCGTAACTTCGTTCGTTAAAGTCTGCTCGAAGTAGCTAACTTATGTAACGTCTGAGTTTGATATTTACATGTAGTTAGTGTTTGATATTTCCTATGATTATAGAATCGTTCATGTTCAACAAAAACATCTCTACTTGATGAACAGAACATCAAAGGCTACCATTTTAGATAATTTTAGATTGAAAATTACCTGGAATTTTCTGCAATTTAAATGTATTTCCTCACAAAAGTAGCTCTTTTTCAAAATCAAGTTTATTATTGTATTCCTATAATTGCAAGGGAGAGGAGGGAGGGGTTATTTTAGCAAATTAGAAAGTAGCTATTATTAATTGAGTAAATTACGATTATATAGCAAAATTTAAGGTTGTCACTGAAGAGTGAAGTCCTTCTAGTTATATAGATGTTTAAAGAAATTGGTAAAGATAAATACGAACTCAGATAAATACTTTTAGGTTTGAGAAAAAAACATGACGTTTGTGACTTAATTTTTGAATAGTAGCCCCCAGATTCTTTTGATCTCTTTCCTGCTGGTCTTTTGAAATTGCTTACATCTTTTAAATATATGTATTTTTCGACTACGTCTTTAGAATGTTCTGAAATCCGCAGTGAACAAACAGCAGCGAAGAATTTAAAAGTTTATGAAACAATAAAAGACTGGAAACTTTTTTGTAAGTTTTATACACTTAATTGATTGTATAATTTATTAAGAGTATGTAACAGAGTAAAAAATATTGTGTTGAATTTTGAATTCTTATAGTGTATAATAACAATTTTAGAAAATTATATAGCGTCAATATTTGATTTAATCACCAAGAGTCTGTTTCTCTATCTTATTTCTACCTCTTCTTACAAAACTAATTCTTAACAGGGTCTTAATTTTTCGCCATCGCAAAAAAAAACATTAAAGAATTAATTTATAAGCAATGGCGATACGGCGAGCAAAACATTTCCGCAGAAATAGGGATTTTCTTTTCTTTATCATTCCACAATGGATTTCATTACCATGCAAACCTTAAATCCAGATTATAATACAACTTTTATCGTTTGAACAGTCAAGCTGTTGTATGTATATATATGGTTTATACGACGGTGTGAGATTTCGTTGCCGGAAGTTTAAACGCAGTTGAATATTTTGGAAATTAGCTACGAAATTAAAATCGCCAATATATATATTATAGCTATATACATATCAGTCACTGAACTTTTAATTTTCAAACTGTTTTGCATTTTATAGATATGTATGTATAAGCTTGTATAATATTTGACATCATACAAATGTCACTTTGTGTAACGTCACATATCCTTTTATCATTTTCTAAACTTCAAACTAGAAGGTCTTCACTCTTCGCTGATAATCATGATTTACTTAGCTAAGATTACTGTCCACTAGATCAATTACAAGACATACCTGACAAATGCTGTTCTTCCACAGTGACAGTTTTATCATTGCATCATTCTTTAAAGGGACGAGTCTATTATTTTTGCTAATTAGAAAGTATTCATTAGTTAAAAAAATCATGATTATATAGCTGTGATTATAATAAAGACTTAAGATTTTCAGAGATGACTTTCATATATAGTTACTTTGACGTTTGAGAAATAAAAATAGTCAGAGTTGCCGGTTTTGCAAGCCATTCATTGTGTGGTTTTCTGGACTAAAACAACTGTTGTTTCTTCCCTGACTTGTCGAAATTTAAAGTTATCTTTACGACATGACGTCGTTGTGACCAAAATTTCCTTTAAGGTCGCATCTCTTTAAAACGGTCTATACAATATGTTGAAGGTGATTTGAGCTACGTTGGGTTATTTTATTATTGTATTTTGATAAGGCCTCTGACAAATCTGTGTTTATATTTTGCGTAAAGGTGACAGCGTCGGCAAAGGCTATACCGATGAAAAGGAATTGTCGTCTGCAATACCTCACAAAAGTAAGCACATCAAATTTGATCAGTTTTGAAAAAAATAGTCCGTTTTCTCTTCATTTCATCTTTAAAAGAAGGATTTTATAATTTATTTGTGGGATAACACGCTTGGTCGATGACGAGCAATTAATTTAAAAAGATGGCATTTTTCAATTCTTCAAGACAGCAAAGCGTTTCTTTACAGCAGTTTTATAGAAAAAATATCAAATTTGAAACGTTTCATTCAGGAAATAACACGATGACCATGTGGAGACATTAGCTAATTTGCATGTAGTCAGAAAAAAGAAAGATTGAATAAATTCCTTCCTTTAAAATTGGTGTGACTTTATAAGCTATTGATTCAACTTTCATAGCTATATCATGTTGCATTATAAAGTCAGTATAAACACGTAAGCTGCTTCTGAATCAAAAATGAAATGTAAGTTTCATTTACTTGTTTTTTATTTTTTGTCCAGTGCATGGTCAAGAGTTACTATATGTCTTTTTCCGTAGATGAAGCTCCCAGTCCCAACACGAGTGACTTCAAAAATACGTTTTTAACCAAAGGTTGCAAAATTAAAGATTGTGTGCATGAAAAATTGAAAAGGTAATGATTTTTTATCAGATTTAGTATAATTTTGATTCATTTTGCTTGACAAGCCGCCATCATGCTGATTTTTTGTCGAACACCATGACGTTTTCCCATTCATAGTTTTTCTTGGCTTTGTTGCAAATATGGCATAGACCAAACGAACAAAGAGATCCGTTATCTTCGTTTGTACCTCGAAGTGGACAATAAAATGAGAGGGATTGATTTGAAACCAGAATGCTTCAGAATACATTGAATTACGTTTTGTCAACCCGTCAGACGAAATAATAATTCGGCCACTATCCAGCATCATGGTTCACTCAAAGCGCGATGATGAGCCTAATGAAAAATCCCGTGGGACGTTGACTCTGTTCAGCTGTAAAGATGGAAAACATTACGCGTTGACTTGTCTTCATGTTGGATATGGAAAAGTTCCGAAAGAACAAATGAATAATCAATTCTTTTACATTCGAGACAAAATTGAAAATGATAAATTGGCATTTGAGAAATTTCTACAAAAAAACAAGTACTCTTATACTCATAAAAACAGCATAAAAATACCTCTTGGCGAGCTATTTCATTACTCATTTGATCTTGAAACCGACATCATGGCAATCTTAATTGATGACAAAGAAAGTGAATTTACTGCGGCTGAAATAGAGATGCCGAGTTCTTTCAATGTTGTGTTTGATAATTTGTTATTGAAGGAAAATGAGAAAGTTTATAAAGTTGGCGACGAGTTTGGCTTGAACGTCATTGCTGACCTCAGTCGTAGCGTTTTTGACAACAAAAAAGAAGTGTTTCGTAACGTAGTGGCAGTAAAGAGTGATAACGAATTCCTCCGGCGTGGAGATTCTGGTTGCCTAGTGTATTATTATGATGAGAACAACAAAAAGATACCATTTGCGTATGGAGTTGCTGCAGTGACCAAGAAAAACGAGACGTATTATGTTTGCATGAGATTAAAAGATGGTTTAGAAAATTTGGGACTTCTCGAAAATGTCTCCTTCAAAGACTTTTTACGTGGCACTAAATGATTACTCTTTGTGGAGAAGAACATATATATGCATCATTTAAAACCTATGTACTCATTTAACTTATGTTCATTTATATATTATTTTTACAGGTATCAATTTGTTTAGAATTTATTCATTAATTTAACATTTGCGCACTTTTTTTGCGAAAATTCCTACTGTAGCTAAGAACTTGTTTTAGAAATGTCCTTATCTTCAACATGATTTCCGTCGCTACATATCATGAAAAGCGTGTATTCAAAAATTATAATTATTAGTGATCGAGCTGTATTTTAAGACTAAATACAGCTATAGAACTATATTTGCATCTGTGGTTAATATAAAGGTACAGAAGAAAAAATAGTCAAGTTTTACAGACACCAGTTTCTGAGTAAATTAATTGAGTACTTTCATTACTTCATATTCATTTCAAAGCTTGGTTTAATAGTTTTATTTTGTATAATATAAATATGTCAAATACGACAATGTTTTTTTAATGTTTTGTCACGAATGCTATCTATTACAAGGACTCAAATCATATGGGGATTTAACGACAAGAGCAATCATCTTGTCAAGGTAGGAGAATATCTTTACTCAAAAAAATGTTCACGAAACGTTGAAATGTGCTTATGTCAAAAGGAGTTTCCACGATTATTATAAATTCGCAATACAGAGTTCACGATTCAATGTTCAAAATTGCTGGAAGGATTTACCTTGTAATTCTCAAGAGTTGACATAAACAGTGTATGTTACAATCACTTCTATGTTCAGACAAGAATTATATCAAGTAATTGTGTAGAGTTAGCTTGATGATCGTTAGTGCGTGTGAATTGAAGTGGATTATGATTGTGCAAGAAAATAACTCGAGTCATTGACACTAACCTGTCTCCTGAGAATTGGTGAAATCTGATGGGACCTTTGTTCGTTTCAGCCTCGAAATCCGGAAAGACATCACCTAAGTTAACCATTATTGCAGTACAGCTTTTCTACTGTTGATCTGTAAATGAACAATAGCGCGTTTATTGTGGTGTGGGGTGATGCATGATGGGGTGAGTCGCAATTAAATATTTAATTATGAACATTATTGTAACTTGTTTGTGTAACCTTGTGACATTAAGAGCAACAAAATTAAACAAACCTTAGTAAACTTTTTGTAAATTTATCGAAACGTGGGGTGATGTCATTGGTCATTATAAATAATCATTGTTGTTGAGTGATAAATGTTTTTCTTTCATGATTTCCTGATCAATTTCTTAGATTTCGACAAGGGGAATTTATTTGAATCGGGTGACAACTTTGGTTTATGTAGAATTTGGCGAAGAATATGGCTTCGATGGTTTCGATTTGAGCTTCTTCCTTTTTGCCGAACCTACTACTTATGAAAGAAATAAAGGCGGGCGGGAGGGAGGACATGGGTCATCTTATTAGAAATGGAGAAGAAAATCCTGACTTCAACTGAAGATAAATAAGGTAATGTTGGTGAGTCTAAAGTGGACTGGGGACTAGCAACATGAATGTTAATTTTTTAAATGGAAACATCGTTGTTAGTAGAAATATAATAAATATTTACGAAATGAACTTAAATGAAAATAGTTTTATAACCATTTTTTAATTTAGACAAACGAGAAATATCAGTTTATGTTGCGAATTTTTTAAAGGTTTTGTTATTTGTGGATTTTAGAATGATTCTCAGGGTTAGTAAGTATTGCCGTATTGGTTATAACGTTATGACTTACATAGTTATGACTGGCTCCTTTCCTGGTTTTGTATGAAGGAAAGCTTGAACAAAGGGAAGGTATAAGGAAGTTATCATGTGACATGATTAATGCACAGATAAAATAAAAAATGTCATGAGAATTGTGTGATATTCGCTGGTATTGGTAATTTTAAAAGTTTTGACATCAGAAAGGTGTTACCAAGTGTCATTTGAATGCAATAGTTTCAGTCTCCTTAATCATTTATTTATCGCAAGTTCGCAACATTATTGTCCACTAAAAATGGTGACTGTATGTCATATGATGTTTTTCATGTATATTTCGGTATATAATTCTGGAAAAGAATTGGAGAAGTGTTTTAGGATGCTCTGTTTGTGATTATATCTTTCAAGCTCAAGGAAAGGTGAATGGCTTATATGCAAATTGTTGGTGATTGACATCATACACTTGTGATGTATTGAAGACTATTTATATAGTTGATGAGTTTTAAGCATGTATCATGTGCCAGTATATATTTGTCAAACAATAACTGCACTTTACTTTCTTAAATCAAGTATTTGCTGATTTCAGGTCAGTTTTCCTGAAGACATTCCTGTCATTGCAACATGATTTGGTTATTTCAACCGTATATTTTGTCATATTTTGTCGTTGTTTATGTTGTTGAAAATGAAGGTTTGTGTTTAAATTTATCAATGATGAACTGATATTGCAACAATGTTTTTTTTGTGGGGCAACTATCATTGATCAAAACAGACTTTTGTCAGTTTTTGAATATGAATGCAATGCTCATGTATGTACTGTCTTCACTTTATTAAAGGCATGATATTCTTTTGTTGATAAACTAGGCTGAAAGGCCATTTTATACTGGTCATGAATCTCAGGGTGTGAAATTGTGTATTAAGGTGGAAAAGTGAATCACAATTTTTGTTAAAAGTTTGTTGAACTATCACCCTGAAATGAGAAACATACCTTGTTTCTTGTTTCTGGTATGTTGTTTCATTTCATATCTTGCTGCACAATAGTCATAATACAGGATTGATGTAACTAAAAACAAACATTTCAAAATTGACAAAGTAGAACGTTTATCATAGTTGTTAAATGTTCATGAAAGCATGAAAATATTTTCAAACTCTTAAACACTTCATGTTACGTTGGTTAGTTATTATAGTTCACACTTGTCATCAGTATCTTTATGTTCTACGTAATTCCGACATACTCAGTTTGGTTATGTCAATTGCACAATGCACCATCTTTGTCTGAATATTTGAAACTTTGTCGACTCTGTTTGCTTTGACTTTAAAGCATTTTACTACGACAGGTAGACACAAGAACAGGAAAATACTTTCCAATTCTAAAAATCATGAAAAGCCACGACTTCTTACAGTTTTCATTCAGTAGATCTAAACAAGAAGTTAAGATGATAATATCAAAATTAGAATTATGGCGTGTTGTATGAAGTTCCTGGACCGGTCAACCCCCCTGGCGGGGATTAATACTGGCCGGCATACAAATGTTGTTTGTTTGTTTTTTTGTTGATGAGATTTAAAAATTTAGATAAACTGTAAAGTTGTTTAGCTTTTTGTATTTACCGCGCGTTTAGTGCATCGCAAGTGGTCTGAAGTGATTTTAGGAATTGCAACATGTCAATTCATATCCTTAAAATTAGAGTATAAGAATTAAGTACTGGGTGATTCTGCCGTCACTTGTGCGACATTTACACTGTGATTCTATAGTTATTCCCGACTTAAAGCTTAGACAAAAATGAATGCATTACAAATTAATACATTGTGGTAAAATGTTTGGCTTTTAATATTCATGTACATTTTATATGTTGGTGATATTAGCCAAATCATATCTCAATGTAAAGTTTAGAACTTCAAAATAGAAATAATTTCTTTTGCCGACAATTTTCAAGGAAAAAGCTTAAACATGGTGAACATGAATATCAAAAAACTGACTTATGAAATATCTCGGGTAGGATGTATTCGCTGTTAAATTGTGTGAAATTGAAGGTATTTTGATGAGCCTTGAGACAGACACTGATAATGAAGATATCAGTCACTATAGAAGATTTTATTATTGTCGTTGGCTCCATCAATGCAGCAATCTTTACTCGATAAAACCCCTGTTGCCAATCGTAAAGGTGGAAAAATTTCATTTTAGTTCATGTAGGGTGTTGAAACTTCGTTTTCTTTAAATAAAATTTGATGGATATTTGCGATTATTAAATGAGATATGATCTTCGCACTTAGCTGGACAATTTAAGCAATCGTCTCAGGACCTGAAAAAATCAGGTGACTCAACGGGATTCGAACCCATGACCTCTGCGGTGCCGGTGCAGTGCTCTGACCACTGAGCTATGAAGTCACACAGTGGTGAGCAGGTCAATATTGTTGGGCTCATGTTTTCTCGTGAAATGAATGTCATGTGAATGTTTTTATGCTAAGTGCGAAGATCATATCTCATTTAATTTCAAAACACCGCACTGCATAAAAACATTCATTTGCGATTATGATAGAACAAATCTACAACACAAACTTAAAGATGCTCAAAGTTACTTTACAACTGTAGTACTTAACCATCAATTAGTTTATATTTATGTTGATAACGTAAATGTTTTACATTATTTCTCAGCTTAAACCTTATCGTTTCGTGTAGGTGACGTAGCTAATTCTATTTTCCCGATGACGTGTATTTAACGAGGACCATGTTGTGAAATGTAAGTCTAACCTGGAGTTTCATGAAAACAAAAAAACAGGAAAGCAATGATGGCAACATTGATGATAATTATGGAGGATATGTGAATATAAGGACCAATGTTCCATGACTTAAAGAAAGAGTTTACAGCCAATAAACACACTGGTGAGAAGGTGTACTATGTTGGTCAACATGATTATAATGTGTTTAATGTTCAAAACCAACAACTGTTCTTACTGTGAGAACTTCTCATCTACTAAGAAAGTGAAACTATTACAGGTCAGTACTTGTACATCAAACTTTAAACTTTAAACAAGACTTTGTTGAATGCTTATTTTTATGTGAAAATCTTCCACCGTTCGGCGTACATGTTTTTCCTTAACGAATGAAATATGCAATGATTTCATCGTCTATTAACGATAACTATTATCGTAAATAATCTAGTTTCGTAGTTTTGTACTGCCTATGTATGAAATGACTTTACATTTTTCTTGCCGGTGTCCGAAGCCTAATCTGTGAGTCTGCAAATCTAAACCTTTATTTCAATTATCGAAAACTTTTACTTAAAATTTATCAAAAAATGCTTCGTTTCGAATCGGCAAATTTCGTGTTTCTATCCACTTTTCTAGAACATGGATGAATGTACAATATTGCAAAGAATATGGCTACTTTCACATTTTGAAGTTTGGAAAAAGGATATCTTTTCTATGTCAATATTTACTTGTTGAACTGAGTCTCGAGAATGACTGCACGGAATAATAAAAGGAGAATTTAAGATCTGTATCCCCTTGTAATTGCTATTGGTTTATCTCTTTTTCAAACTTTAATGGTAGTTTATTAGAGAGAATTATTTCAAGATATTTTTTCGAGAGGTAAGTTGTTAACACAATTTTGTTTAAGATTCTTTAGAAAATAATGAAAACTGTCCTCTATCTTACACCGGCTGAAAATGGTGGTCACATCCCAGATGTTTGGCAATTGCTACCAACTCTATAATTACCGTTATCGTAACTGCGTAAAAACACTATCGATAAAGCGCTTTTAATAAAAACGACCAGTTTTTCTAAAATAAACATGTTTCAACATCTCATGGAAAAGAGTCTGCTTAAGGAGGCATATACAGTAAAACTTTTACTAAAACTATGAGAGAAAACACTGTGGACGAAATTGATAGTGGTGCAAACAAGGGCGAAGTTGAATATAACGTAAAAACTGACAAAGTTCATATTTTAGGCTTAGAAGATCATGGGTCTGTTGAAGAGAGTAATGTTGGCAATAGAACAGGTTACAAATATCTCATGAAACCCTTCAAAATGCTGATGTATCAGCGAATCAAACTCGTGAAGCTAAAGAGAGTCGTTTCGATGAAGTGATCCGTGTTTCCCACGAGAGTCGTGGAAATAACGAGAGACGAGTTGCTAATGACTATCGTGTTGTCGAAGAATGGAAGTCTTCAGAGTTTCGTGAAAACAGAAGAAAGGAAAGTGGTAATTTCAATGTTGATGATAAATATGGAGAATATGTGAAGCTAAAGTCCAATGCTCCACTACGTACAGAGAGGTTACAGCCAATCAACTTCTCTTCGAAGTAGACAGTCATAATGACGTCACGTAGTATGGCGTCACTTCACAACATTTCAAGAAACATGATGCCCAGTGATTCAGTGAGAAATTATACCAACATGGGCTACAGTCAATATGGCGATGATGTGTCTAGTGTTGATTATCAACAACCTGTTGTTGTTGTGAGAACATTTGATCATCCAGGAAAGTCGTACTATTACAGGTCAGTTGTACTACCGCGGGTCAGCAATCCTATTATAGGTCAGTCGTACTACTGCTGGGCAGTTATACTATTACAGGTCAGTTGTACTACCGTAGAGCAGTTATACTATTACAAGTCAGTTGTACTACCACTGGTCAGTTATACTATTACAGGTCAGTTGTACTACCACAGAGCAGTTATACTATTACAGATCAGTTGTACTACCACAGAGCAGTTATACTATTACAGGTCAGTTGTACTACCTACCACAGGGCAGTTATACTATTACAGGTCAGTTGTACTACCACAGGGCACTTAAACTATTACAGATCAGTTGTACTACCACAGAGCAGTTATACTATTACAGGTCAGTTGTACTACCTACCACAGGGCAGTTATACTTTACAGATCAGTTGTACTACCGTAGAGCAGTTATACTATTACAGGTCAGTTGTACTACCTACCACAGGGCAGTTATACTATTACAGATCAGTTGTACTACTGTAGAGCAGTTATACTATTACAGGTCAGTTGTACTACCTACCACAGGGCAGTTATACTATTACAGGTCAGTTGTACTACCTACCACAGGGCAGTTATACTATTACAGGTCAGTTGTACTACCACAGGGCACTTAAACTATTACAGATCAGTTGTACTACCACAGAGCAGTTATACTATTACAGGTCAGTTGTACTACCTACCACAGGGCAGTTATACTATTACAGGTCAGTTGTACTACCTACCACAGGGCAGTTATACTATTACAGGTCAGTTGTACTACCACAGGGCACTTAAACTATTACAGATCAGTTGTACTACCGTAGAGCAGTTATACTATTACAGGTCAGTTGTACCTACCACAGGGCAGTTATACTATTACAGGTCAGTTGTACTACCGTAGAGCAGTTATACTATTACAGGTCAGTTGTACTACCTACCACAGGGCAGTTATACTATTACAGATCAGTTGTACTACTGTAGAGCAGTTATACTATTACAGGTCAGTTGTACTACCTACCACAGGGCAGTTATACTATTACAGGTCAGTTGTACTACCACAGGGCACTTAAACTATTACAGATCAGTTGTACTACCACAGAGCAGTTATACTATTACAGGTCAGTTGTACTACCTACCACAGGGCAGTTATACTATTACAGGTCAGTTGTACTACCACAGGGCACTTAAACTATTACAGATCAGTTGTACTACCGTAGAGCAGTTATACTATTACAGGTCAGTTGTACTACCTACCACAGGGCAGTTATACTATTACAGGTCAGTTGTACTACCTACCACAGGGCAGTTATACTATTACAGGTCAGTTGTACTACCACAGGGCACTTAAACTATTACAGATCAGTTGTACTACCGTAGAGCAGTTATACTATTACAAGTCAGTTGTAATACCTACCACAGGGCAGTTATACTATTACAGGTCAGTTGTACTACCACAGAGCAGTTATACTATTACAGGTCAGTTGTACTACCTACCACAGGGCAGTTATACTATTACAGGTCAGTTGTACTACCACAGGGCACTTAAACTATTACAGATCAGTTGTACTACCGTAGAGCAGTTATACTATTACAGGTCAGTTGTACTACCTACCACAGGGCAGTTATACTATTACAGGTCAGTTGTACTACCACAGGGCACTTAAACTATTACAGATCAGTTGTACTACCACAGAGCAGTTATACTATTACAGGTCAGTTGTACTACCTACCACAGGGCAGTTATACTATTACAGGTCAGTTGTACTACCACAGGGCAGTTAAACTATTACAGATCAGTTGTACTACCACAGAGCAGTTATACTATTACAGGTCAGTTGTACTACCTACCACAGGGCAGTTATACTTTACAGATCAGTTGTACTACCGCAGTTATACTATTACAGGTCAGTTGTACTACCTACCACAGGGCAGTTATACTATTACAGGTCAGTTGTACTACCGTAGAGCAGTTATACTATTACAGGTCAGTTGTACTACCTACCACAGGGCAGTTATACTATTACAGATCAGTTGTACTACCGTAGAGCAGTTATACTATTACAGGTCAGTTGTACTACCTACCACAGGGCAGTTATACTATTACAGGTCAGTTGTACTACCTACCACAGGGCAGTTATACTATTACAGGTCAGTTGTACTACCTACCACAGGGCAGTTATACTATTACAGGTCAGTTGTACTACCTACCACAGGGCAGTTATACTATTACAGGTCAGTTGTACTACCTACCACAGGGCAGTTATACTATTACAGGTCAGTTGTACTACCACAGGGCAGTTAAACTATTACAGATCAGTTGTACTACCACAGGGCACTTAAACTATTACAGATCAGTTGTACTACCGTAGAGCAGTTATACTATTACAGGTCAGTTGTACTACCTACCACAGGGCAGTTATACTATTACAGGTCAGTTGTACTACCTACCACAGGGCAGTTATACTATTACAGGTCAGTTGTACTACCACAGGGCACTTAAACTATTACAGATCAGTTGTACTACCGTAGAGCAGTTATACTATTACAGGTCAGTTGTACTACCTACCACAGGGCAGTTATACTATTACAGGTCAGTTGTACTACCGTAGAGCAGTTATACTATTACAGGTCAGTTGTACTACCTACCACAGGGCAGTTATACTATTACAGATCAGTTGTACTACCGTAGAGCAGTTATACTATTACAGGTCAGTTGTACTACCTACCACAGGGCAGTTATACTATTACAGGTCAGTTGTACTACCACAGGGCACTTAAACTATTACAGATCAGTTGTACAAACACAGAGCAGTTATACTATTACAGGTCAGTTGTACTACCTACCACAGGGCAGTTATACTATTACAGGTCAGTTGTACTACCACAGGGCATTAAACTATTACAGATCAGTTGTACTACCAGAGCAGTTATACTATTACAGGTCAGTTGTACTACCTACCACAGGGCAGTTATACTTTACAGATCAGTTGTACTACCGTAGAGCAGTTATACTATTACAGGTCAGTTGTACTACCTACCACAGGGCAGTTATACTATTACAGGTCAGTTGTACTACCGTAGAGCAGTTATACTATTACAGGTCAGTTGTACTACCTACCACAGGGCAGTTATACTATTACAGATCAGTTGTACTACCGTAGAGCAGTTATACTATTACAGGTCAGTTGTACTACCTACCACAGGGCAGTTATACTATTACAGGTCAGTTGTACTACCTACCACAGGGCAGTTATACTATTACAGGTCAGTTGTACTACCTACCACAGGGCAGTTATACTATTACAGGTCAGTTGTACTACCTACCACAGGGCAGTTATACTATTACAGGTCAGTTGTACTACCACCACAGGGCAGTTATACTATTACAGGTCAGTTGTACTACCTACCACAGGGCAGTTATACTATTACAGGTCAGTTGTACTACCACAGGGCACTTAAACTATTACAGATCAGTTGTACTACCACAGGGCAGTTATACTATTACAGATCAGTTGTACTACCGTAGAGCAGTTATACTATTACAGGTCAGTTGTACTACCTACCACAGGGCAGTTATACTATTACAGGTCAGTTGTACTACCTACCACAGGGCAGTTATACTATTACAGGTCAGTTGTACTACCA